GCTCCACAAAGAACCTTTCAGTGAACAGTTATTAAAAGAACCATTTTTTTCAATTTTCAATCATCTTAATTTTGCTACTACAAAGAACCTTTTTGTAATGGGAAGTTTCCATAGGTGTTAATGGTTCTATATAAAGCCAATAAAGAGCTTTTATTTTTGTGTGTAATCAGTTCAGTAATATTGAAAATTGGCTTTCAAAAGTTCCAAAAATGTACTATAAATGTACACACAACATGTGCTGTTGCTGTAGGTTGCTAAAATTCCTTAGGAGAAATAAAAATAGACGATAGACAAACAGTTGATTACATACAGTAGAGTATAGAGCTATAAAAAATGTATGTAAACAGCAGCTCAGACCATTTGATGAGAACTGTTTAAGTTCAAATTGACTGGATTGCAGACGTTAGTATCTTAAGAAGTTTGAACAAAAATTGAAACCATTAATGGCTCCACAAAGAACCTTTCAGTGAACAGTTATTAAAAGAACCATTTTTTTCAATTTTCAATCATCTTAATTTTGCTACTACAAAGAACCTTTTTGTAATGGGAAGTTTCCATCGGTGTTAATGGTTCTATATAAAGCCAATAAAGAGCTTTTATTTTTGTGTGTAATCAGTTCAGTTCCTCAAATTTCTAACAGGCATTCGAGAAGCCCAGTGCACCCCAGAAGCCTCTTCCCGCAGACCCACTGGGTCGAAACGTCCGGGTGATTCGGAACCCTTCGGCCGTGCGACTTCCAGCGCCCATCCCGACTCCATCCGCCCCGCGACCCGCTCCGCCTCACCCACAGCCCTGCAGGTACAAATACACCCAAGGAACACCTGCCCAAAGTGTCAAATCATTTAAAGCAATAGTTCACCCAAAAATTTACATTTGCTGAAAATGTAATCACCCTCAAGCCATCTAGGATGAGTTTCTTCATCAGATTTGGAGAAATGTAGCATTACGTCTCTTGCTCACCAATGAATGCTCTGCAGTGAATGGGTGCCGTCAGAATGAGAGTCCAAACAGCTGATAAAAAACATCACAATAATCCACACCACTCCAGTGCATCGGTTAACATCTTGAGAAGACAAAACTGTGTGTTTATAAGAAACAAATTCATCATTAAGACGTTTAAACTTTAAACCATAATTTCTGGCAAAATACTATCTATAATCCATAGTAACGCTTCCTCCAGTGCACAGATCAAGCACCGTTTACAAGTCAAAAGAGTCCAAAACAGCTCTAAACAAATATGTGGGTGGATTTTGATATGAGAGACAACAGGAGATAGACTTTTTCACTGGAGGAAGCATTATTATGGACTCCTATTTTGGCCAGAAATGATGGTTTGAAGTGTAAAAAAAAATCTTATTGATGGATTTTTTTGTTACATACAAAGCTTTTGGCTTCTCAAGATGTTAACTGATGGACTGGAGTGCTGTGGATTACTTGTGGATTATTGTGATGTTTTTATCAGCTGTTTGGACTCTCATTCTGACGGCACCCATTCACTGCAGAGCATCCATTGGTGAGCAAGTGATGGAATGCTATATTACTCCAAATCTGTTTCGATAAGGAAACAAACACATTTACATGAGGATTTACAGCATCAAATTTTCATTTTTGGGAGAGCTATTCCTTTAAGACGATGGATGCTTTTTTGATTAACTTATTACCGGACTTGCAGGCCTCCTCCTAAACAGCCGCCCACCCTGCCGAAGCCTCGCTTCACAGCCGGAGTGACGTTCAGCAGCTGAGAGCCGGACAGAAGGGATCTCGTCCCTGGAGACGCTCGCTTTTTGCACTATGAACCTCTGCGGGACACGTGGTGATGCGAGGGGTGACCTTTGACCCCAGCGGTGCTCTCCCTCTAAACGGTGCTATGAGTCCAAGCTCAGGTACATGTCACGTGTTATTTATGTCGGTTACGAGCGTATTTATTTGAGCACAGTGCACTGTGGTTGACACTTTCTCAATTGTAGCAATCGGTGGTTCGCCCACGTTTACCTGATTGTCCTTTTGTTGTTGCTGTTGTTGTTGTTTTGACATTTTTCGACTGTGTACCAACAGATAAAGACGAGACGTGTTATCTGTGAACACGAACCACATCATGTGGATGCTAAACTGGTTTGTAAACCAGATTTAATGGAAACGTGAATTGGGAGTTGATGGTTCTGTGTCTGTGATGTCATTTGGTATATGAAAAGGGCTTTTTAACAATTTCATTTGATTTAATGGCCATTTTATTAGTTTCAGACATACATGATTAAACCTGAATTACAGTTGCAGTGATACTTAAGGGATGTTGAAGAAACCTATATAAAAATAATCTCACGATAACATGTCCAGGTCATATTTTATCCCAGATTAAAGGGAACAAAAGAAATACAATTTTGCATAAAGTAAAATAGGCATTTTTCGGCTAAAAAATAATAGGTGTTTTTTTTATAAATTTTTTTAAGGTATCTTGTTTTTAATTCTAAGACAATTAAGCTTATTTCCCCCTGATATTTTAATTATTCGAATACATCTGAATATTTAGCTTTTTTAAAAATTCTAAATATTAGGCTATCTATGATGATTCTCATTACTGAAGTAATTTTTTAGTATAGTAACAAAAATATTTTAAAAAGTAATGAAAATGAAATGAAATCAAATTTTATTTATATAGCACAAATAAAAACAACAGTAGTTGACCGTTGTGCTGTACAAAAAAGACAAAGGATGAATATATAAAAAAAAGACAGAAAGAATAAAAAGACCGCAAAGCAATGATAAAGGGAGTCAACATCAAAATCCCCAAAAATGTGACTTTTAAAAATCAAAGACCGATGTAAGCCTGAGCGAAAAGGAAAAGGTTTTGAACTTTGATTTAAATTCAGTGGAAATTCATCTTATAGATAAGAGGGAGACTATTCTACAATTTTGGACCAGCAATAGAAAAAGCTCTGTCACCCCTCGACTTAAGTTTAGATCTCGGAACCTAAAAATCTAATGAGAATCATCATAGATAATAATTAGAATTTAAAACGAAACAAAAAAAAAATATTCAGGCATGTTAGTTATTTTTTTGTATGTAAAACACACACAAAAATAAGCAGCAAAGCAAATACTATTGAAAATATTACAATTTAAATGATATATTATTATTATTTATTTATTTTTACTTTGCATTATTGGGAATTTGAGTGAAAATGTGCTTAATTTTTGTCATAGAAATCTTATTGTTAAAAACTAAGCTTCAGTTTCTTTTTCAGTCTGAATTTATTTTTGCAAACAAACAAATTCATTCGTTTAAAAAGCATCCAGTCAGGATTATTTTCATTATTGTATTGCAGTAATGAGAAATTAGTAAATGTGTTTACAATATCACAATGCAATCAGTCTTCAAAACATTGTCTTTCTTTTTGATTTTTGATTTTGAGGTGAAATATGATCTGGACATGCAACACAGCGTGTACAATACTGTGCAGCTGTATAATGTTCTGAATTCTCTCCATTTCACATGTCTAAATAAGTCTTTTTTTTTGTGAGTATGAAAACATTTGCAACAAATGATATGCACCAAGTCCAGCTTTTGTTGATTTCAAAGCTGGTAAGGATGATCGACAGACACAGATGTTGTGTTCCTGTGACCTGTCAGATGTTCAGATAGACGGTTCACTCAGGAGATCTCAGCTTTGAGAAGACCTTTACTGACTGGAAAGATCTGAGAGCCAGAAAGCCAAACCAGGCCCTGATTTCATGGCCATGCAGCCATATTCTCATAGATGTACTTTGAAATAGTTACTGTGGGGAAATGATTAAACAAATTACATGGATTTCCTTTCTTATCGACCCAAATAATGTTGCCACATGGAGCATTAAAAGTGGATTGTGGTTAATGAAAACAGACACATGAATCCTTCTCTGAATAGTCCCATAATCCCTCTGGTGTCCCTCAAACACGCTGCGGTCAGTGGTTTTGAATCACTGGCAAAGGTTCATGGGCGATTTGTCAGGGTAAATGAACACACTGCACTAAAATAATCGGATGTGCACAAAACATTTAGAAATAAAGAGTTTTTGCAGTGATTATGGTCATGAATTACTGTCAACAGCAGGGTCAAAATAAACACAAATTGGGGTAACACTTAAAGCCTTTATATATAATAATGCATTATAAACTTAGTTTTAATGCATTAATTATGCACTGTATGATCTCATGAATAATTGCAACCACAGTTTATAATATTTATACAATTATAATACTTATCTGTTCATTGTTACACCTTTAGAAAGTATAATGCATTAAAACACATGACAAATAAACCTTCAAATATTATAATGAATTTAACTGAACATTCTGTATATCTTTATAATGCATTATACATAAAGGCTTTAAGTGTTACTCAAATTAGTTTTGGTGAGTAAATATTTTCTGTAACTTACCACTTTGAGGAACTACATAATATTAACTAACATAGTATGACTAAATTGAATTGTAAGAATGATAGCCTGATGCACAATGATAGAGAAGATTGTAAACAAAGACATGCAAACATCTTTCACAAATCAAAAATATACACACTACCCCTCAAAAGTCTGAAGGTTTTATATTACATTTTTTGGAAAGAAGACTCTTTTGTGCACCAAGGCTGCATTTATTTGACCAAAATACAGTAAAAAAAACAGTAATATTCTGAAATATTATTACAATTTAAAATAACTGTTTTTGTTTTTTTTTTAATATATTTTGTTTAGTCTTCAGTGTCACATGATCTTCAGAAATCATTCTAATATGCTGATTTGCTGCTCAAGAAACATTTCTGATTATTATCAATGTTGAAAACACTTGTGCCGCTGTTGACTATTTTCAGAATTATTGATTAATAAAAAGTTGAAATAGAAATCGTTGGTAACATCATGTCTTTACTGTCACTTTGGATCAATTGCATGCATCCTTGCTGAATAAAAGTATTCATTTCTCTCAAAAAATAAAATCTTACTGAAAGTTACCCAAAGTTTTGAATGGTAGTGTATTTTCATAAGAAATCATGCAAAATGTATATACTTTGCAAATTTGGCTCTCCATTTGCAGTGTGTATGTAATGTAGTTTTCTCACTTTATTATTTGTTGCCACTGAGCCATTTATGATCTCAAACGTGGGTCTTTTAGGCCTTTATTCTGACACCTTATGAGTGCCATTATATCTCAGTGTTTACATTGTAAATTCATCTTCATTCACTGTATTAGCAAACATCGCGAATGTCCCGTTGCCTTTTTACAGTGTTAAACCACACAGTGCATTACAGTACGCACAGAGACTGTTCAGATCTAGACGCTGACTTGATACGATGATCACGTGTCTCTAGGTTAACTGCCTTGCTTGTTTTAATCAGTTATTATTTACTATTATTCACTTTGATTCACGTTGTATCCGCACTCAGTAAATCTGCTCCTGTAACGTACTTTTCGTATTTTCTTCAGTGTCACGGGTGTAAACTGCTTTTTTATGATAATTCTTTGATTAATCAAGAAAATGTGAAATAATATACTGTACGTTGATGTCTGCAGCACACAAATAACGGTCGGCATAAAGGGCAGCGCTAGTAAAGTTGTTTATGAAACCGACATGTGGTTTGTCTCATTTCTCTCACTTCTTATCCACAAACAGACTGATGATATTCTGAAAGAAAAGATGGAGAAATTTAATCAAAGAGCTACATACACATTTTGAGATGATTTACGAGCCGTATCAAGATGAAAGGCGTTTTACCTTCCTTTCAAACGCGCGCGCCATTTGCACAGCATTAATGCCAGCCTAAAACACAGAGAAAAAGTCCAGTCAGATTGGTGAAGCCTAAACATGTGCTTTATGATTAAAGAATAAGCCAAGAGGAACACTTTCATAACTCAGATGCCATTTAAGTATTAACTTTGTCACACGTTTCACCTAAAATTGATTCGGAGAAATAAAAACAGACACAAAGGAAATAGTTGTTAACAGAAAACACAATGTGTATAGCAAAGCTCGCAGAGCAGATCATTTGGTCTTTGGAGGAATTTGATGAGAAATAGTTGAAATGTCAGACTCGAGGAAAGAAAAACTCCAAATGAGATCTTTTTCTTGTAAATGGGTTTTTTTCCAGACAAAATGGCAGCAAATAATGAGCAAATTAAGACTCTGAACGAAGATCTTTTTTCAGGAGAAACATCTTAGGAAAAAGTCTCTCCATTTGATCTCTCTGCTCTCTGGTTCTGATTATAGGAGGTTCTGACCTGGTTCTGAATGTTTGGATCGGCTCCTCTATCCAGCAGGATTTTAACTAGATGCTCATAATTATTCAGCACAGCCACCTGCAAGATAAACACTCATCACATACTTCATATGAATGACCTTAATCATTATATACACAACACATACAAATATATGACACATTAAAGCATATAACTTCAAATATAATCTAACATTTTTATATGCTAAATGAACATTTACATCCAAAAAAAAACATCTAGTTAAGGAGGAACCAGTCCTAGCTGTCTCATGGACTGTATTTCTAACCATTATTCTACTGTTACTTATTTATATACTATTCCAAATGTTATTATTATTTTGAATTAGCTTTTAGTTTAAGTAATTTTGTTATGTGCCTTTCTGTTTAGCTTTCATTCATTCTTAATTCAGTTTTGGTTTTAGTCATTTTAGTACTTTAACTTATTTCAGATATTTGCCAAGGCAACATTTTTAATTTCCCCACTGAAAAATGTAATCTAAAATCTAAAAAGATTCTATTCAGGTTAAGTTTTTTATCTAATCATATTCAAATATCATTGTTTATTTCAGCTTTATTTTTTAATATCTGAATTTTAGTTAACAACAACACAACAAAATCCAATTATCCAAAAGATTGTTTTTTGTTTGTTTGAGTTTAGATATTATTTTAGATGTTTAGATTTATATATTAACAGCAGGATCCCACTGTGACAACATGCCCTGTTGTATGACCAACAAGTGTTCAGTAAGCTGCATCTTTCTTTCTGGGCAATAATGGTGTTTAATATATATATATATATATATATATATATATATATATATATATAATGCCAACACAGTACACAAGAATAAACCTAGAGTGACAAATATGCACTTCAGTAAAAAGCTTGACAACTAGTCAAGTCAAGTCTGCTTGACTAGTCAGTCCTGACCTCCCCTGCTCATTTATTGGTTTATTACATGCTGAGATGTTACAGCACAGTTTGAGTTCTTACCATCAGTGGTGTTTTCCCGTCTCTGTCCTGTACATTAACATCAGCACCAGCTGTGATTAACAGTGAAGCTACAGCTGTGTCTCCGGTCATAACCGATACGATCATGAGGGGCGTCCAGGAGGCGTCGTCCCGCACATCGACCTGAGACACAGGAGAACATTATGAGGTGTAAATCAGGTACACCTAAAATCAAACACTGATGTTCATCATCCTCTGACCTCACACCCGTCCTGCATGAGGTGGTGCAGGACAGGTAGGTGTCCTCCAGCTGCGGCCCAGTGCAGAGCGCAGGAGCCCGATCCGTCCCGAGAGCTCCAGGACGCCCCGCAGCTGCGCAGGAACTGCACCACATCCAGGTGCCCATGGAAACATGCCAGCATCAGGCTGATTCACCACACACACACACACACAACAGGTGCACACCAGTGTTAATGTAGTATCACTGATATACTATGTAGTTTTATTAGTCTAGGAGGTTCTGACCTGGTTCTGAATGTTTGGATCGGCTCCTCTATCCAGCAGGATTTTAACTAGATGCTCATAATTATTCAGCACAGCCACCTGCAAGATAAACACTCATCACATACTTCATATGAATGACCTTAATCATTATATACACAACACATACAAATATATGACACATTAAAGCATATAACTTCAAATATAATCTAACATTTTTATATGCTAAATGAACATTTACATCCAAAAAAAACATCTAGTTAAGGAGGAACCAGTCCTAGCTGTCTCATGGACTGTATTTCTAACTATTATTCTACTGTTACTTATTTATATACTATTCCAAATGTTATTATTATTTTGAATTAGCTTTTAGTTTAAGTAATTTTGTTATGTGCCTTTCTGTTTAGCTTTCATTCATTCTTAATTCAGTTTTGGTTTTAGTCATTTTAGTACTTTAACTTATTTCAGATATTTGCCAAGGCAACATTTTTAATTTCCCCACTGAAAAATGTAATCTAAAATCTAAAAAGATTCTATTCAGGTTAAGTTTTTTATCTAATCATATTCAAATATCATTGTTTATTTCAGCTTTATTTTTTAATATCTGAATTTTAGTTAACAACAACACAACAAAATCCAATTATCCAAAAGATTGTTTTTTGTTTGTTTGAGTTTAGATATTATTTTAGATGTTTAGATTTATATATTAACAGCAGGATCCCACTGTGACAACATGCCCTGTTGTATGACCAACAAGTGTTCAGTAAGCTGCATCTTTCTTTCTGGGCAATAATGGTGTTTAATATATATATAT